TCCCCACCTCATCCCCAGTCTTCCCTTAGAATTAAAGCAGAAGTCACTTTCCTATTGAAAGGTCCCAATAACTGAGGGCTGTGATGTAATGAGAAGGTTGGTGGTTTGAGTCCACCTAGAAGTGCCTCAAAAGAAATACTTGGTGATCTACTTCCAAAAACTCAGCCACTCAAAACTTTATGGAGCACAGTTCTACTCTGACCTACATGGGATTACCATGAGTCAGACTGACTCAACAGCAACAGATTTGATTTTTTTTGTTGTTGTTGTTGTTCTGGTCATGTAACCCAAACCAAACAGCCAGCCATGGAAAGAAAAAGCTTTGCACTGTTACAAAGACAGGCTCTTTACCGTGCTATCCCAACTCCAGATAGAGGTACTTGATTCAGTTTTTCTTTTGGCCTTCTAGGGAACACTGTAAGCACCTATTTTCTTGGTCACATTGGGAGATAGCATGGTATTTCTCTTCCTGCCAGATAAAGGCACACTAAAACCTAAGGTAAGCAAAGGGTACATGCTTCCTGAGATTTTTCTGCCACTTTCCAGTTTTGAAGGTCTCGAGCAGCATAAAACTGGAAGACCTAAAGAGGATAAAGAGGAAAAAATGTTCCTGAATAAATGTGTGCTCTTGGGGAGATGTGGAGGGAAGGACACATGTAGGTCAAACAAGGATTTAGTCTTTGATAAAATGGGAAATAATAAACAATATTAAATAATAATAGCTACTATTTATTAGGGAGCTCTGGTAGCATAGTGGCTAAGGCACTTGACTGCTAACCAGAAGGCTGGTGGTTCATACCCACCAGCCACTCCTCAGAAGGAAGATGGGGCAATCTACTTCTGTAGTGATACTGCCTTGGAAACCCAAGGAGGGGTCGCTATGAGTCGGTCTGACTCGACGGCACATAACAACAGCAACAACACTATTTATTAGACCTGCATTATGTGCCCCCACCCAGTCTTGGATTACCTAATAAACAAGGTAAGCATGGGCTTACTTGTACTTACTTACTATCTGTGGTGAACAATTTCACTTTTTTTTTTTTTTTTTTTACCACATCAAAGATTCTACTTCTAGATATAGCTGGCATCTGTCTTTCTCCCAAACCCACAGCACCTTCCTACAGAATCAAAGCCTTTTTTTTTTTTTTCAATGTATACAGTCCTTGACAGGGATGGAGTACCCAGTAAGCGAGGGAAGTACTGGCTTACTTGTGCTTACTTACTAATGTATAGTGAACAGTTTCACTTTTTTGTTTTTTATACCACATCCAGCAAAACCCATGTGAAATTGTTCACTACAGATTAGTAAGTAAGCACAAGTAAATCCACACTTACCTTGCTTATTGGGTAACCCACCTCTAGCCACCACCACCTATCTGTCAGTTTGTTGTACTCTGGTGGCTGGCATGTTGTTGTGATGCTAGAAACTATGCCACCAGCTAAGCTATACCAGCAGGGTCACCCATGATAGACAGGTTTCAGCAGAGCTTCTAGATGAAGACAAACTAGCAAGAAAGGTCTAGAAATCTACTTCTGAGAATTAGCCAATGAAAACTTTATAGGTCACAACAGAATACTGTCCAACTCACTTGCTTTGGATACAGCATCATAAAGGATCAATGGCAAAGGATATCATCTTCAGTGAAGTAGAGGTCCAGTGAGGGCACCAGGAGACCCTCAGTGAGATGGACCAGCACAACAGCTATAATGATAGACTCAAACATGGCAGCGATTGTGAGGATGACACAAGACCAAAGAACATTTTGTTGTGTTGTACATAAGGTCACTATGAGTCAGAGTTAACTGAACTGAGGCTATCTATCTACCATTTATTGGGCCTGTACTATGTGCCAAGCACTTACAAAGTGTTTTATGCACAATATTTCAATTCATTCTCAAAACAACTCAGTGAGGTAAGAATTTATGTGCCCATTTTTACTGATGAGGAAACAGGTTCACTGAATCACACAGCCATTGAGTAGCTGAGCTCCAGGATTGAGATCCAGATGCCCTCACTCTAAACCACTGTGAAACTGGTTTCCTAGGGCTACAGATCAGAGAGGAAAGGAAATTGGTTTATGGTGTGGCAAAGGGCTTGAGATTAGACATAAAGAACTTTCTGACAATGAGAGCTGTTTGGTTGTAGTCAGGGTAATTAGGCTTGTTAGAGCTCTTCCTCTGAGAGCCTTTACATCTAAGATGAATGGACCTTCTATGCCTGGATGGTTTAAGGGAAGCACTCTCTGTTCCCAGCACGAGGCTGGTCTGTTTAAACTAACTGACAGCCTCACTGGGCATACAAGATTACTACACAAAAAACCATTAGATAACAGAAGAAGATAGCACAGGAAATATGCCCAAATGAGACTAGAAGAAGGCAAGATACAGGCAGATGGTACTGTGGTTAAAAGCAAGGACTTTCTGATACATGCTAAAAACCAGATGAACCTTGAAGACTTTATGTTGAGTGAAATAAGTTGGACCAAAAGGACATATATTGTATGACCCCATTTATATGAAATGTCTAGAATAGGTAACTGTATACAGACAAAAGTTTATTAGTGGTTACCAGGGGCTAAAGGGGAGGGGGAAAGGACAGTTATAGCTGAAGGGATACTGAGTTTCTGTTCAGGGTGATGAAAACTTTTGGAAATGGATAGTGGCATAACGTAGGGACGTAATTAATGTCACTGAACTGTACACTTAAAAATGGTTAAACTGGCAAACATTTACTACAATAAAATTAATTATATGAGGGGGGCTCTGGTGGTGTGGTACCTAAGGCATTCGACTGTTAACCAGAAGGCTGGTGGTTCAATTCCACCAACCACTCCTCAGAAGGAAGATTGGGTAATCTACTTTGGTAGTGATACCACCTCAGAAACCCAAGGAGGGGTCGCTATGAGTCGGATCTGACTCCACGGCAGTGAGTTTCACTTTTTTATATAGAGAGAGCAGACTTGTGATTGTGTCTCCTTTGGCTCTGTTACTTGCATGACCTTAGGTACTTTACTTGACTTCCCTAACCCTTGGATTCCTAGTCAGTAAAAAAGAGGATAAGAATAGAACCTAACTTTGGAGGGTTGCCATGAAAATTAAATAAGATGATACACAAAATACTTGGCACAGAACCTGGACATAATAAGAATACAATGAATGGTAGCTGCTCTAATAATAATTACTATTGTTTGAAGTCTAGAGGTGGAGGAGAGCAGTGTGGAATAGGGCTGTGGGAGGTAGCTGAGAAAGACTTTCTGGGAAACTTGAGTTTTGTGCTGGGTCTTGAAGAACTGGCCAGCTTACACCAAAAGGAAGGAATGAGGATAGAGTTTACGTAAGGAAGTAAGATTTGAAATTCTGTATTTTCAAAGAAAGCTCTGGTTTGATCAGGGTTGAATCAGTAGTTTGATCAGTAGTTGAAGTAGAGAAGGCATTGATTATAAGGAGGACCTCCTTATAAGGGGAAAGGGATGAGGTCTTCCATTCTGGTTTCCAAAGCCAGCATTTGAATCGACACAAAGAAGAATCAGAGACAGGAGCCCCAGCTGATCTGGTCCTAAAAGAAGTCAGACATACAGGGCTTCTTTGCCTACTTTGACTGGGACCTTATAGGTAGGAATATGGCTAAGGGCAAAGCTGGTGATGGATGGGGGTGGGGGGAAGTAAGGAAATGCGGGGGAGGCCCTTGCTGACTGTGTGGGCTGACTCATGGCAAGACAATCAAGACTGAGTTCCCTGTCAAGTGGGAGGCCAACTTTGAGACTGTGAACACCTCCGTCTCTATTCTCCAGTCCTGCCAGCTCAGGGTGGGAGTCCTCAGGAGTAGTCCTTATGCTAATCCAAGGATTCTGTGCTGGCCTGCCTTATCTCTCTAATGTGAACAAATATCCTTAGGATAGTTCCCCAGGAGAAATGTTGTTTGTTATGGATCCTCTATATTTAACCCCCTGTCAGTACCAACTATCGACCCTTTGCATCAGGCATCACCTGGGCCATTATTAAAAATACTAATTCTCAGTTCTTTTCCCTAGAGAATCTGAGTCAATAAATTTAGGGACCCAGGAATCTGTGTTTTTAACAAGAACTCAGGGAATTCTTTTGGTAAAGTAAACTTGGAAAACACTGGATTAGATAATCTCTTTAATCTGTTTTGGGCCTAAATGTAGGCAACAGAGTGTAGTAGGAAGGGTCCTGGATGGGTATTAAGGAACTGAGTTCTAGGCCTGACCCTGCAGTTCACTGGCTTCTGGCTCTGTCATTGATGGATATACCAGTTCTGGTCTTTGGACCTGCTGATAACCCAGAAAGGAAGGAAGCTATAGGGCAGAGGAGAGTTTTCAAGATTTCAAAAAGAATGGGGAACCTGGGACAAATGGAGGTGATAATAGATATGCAGAATCCACAGGCCTCAAGCATCCCTCTAGTGCTTTCTCTTTCCTGGGATTGATGGGATAGTGTGGGTCTCAGCAGCCCTCATTATAGACATGGGGACACTTGTTGTCGTTGTTATGTGCCATCAAGTTGGACCCAACTCATAGAGACCCCTCCTTGGGTTTCCCAGGCAGTATCACTATGGAAGTAGATTGTCCAACCTTCCACTTAGGCCCAAACAATTTTAAAAAACGTACCCAACGCACGCCTCTGACTATAGATGGAGGGCAGGAACCCTTTCCCTGCCTGCATCCAGTTCACTGTCAGGGTCCTTGGCAGGGCTAACTTATTTTCTGTGAGCTTAGGGGCAAGAATGTGATGGTAGCACTTTTCCTTCCAGGAGTGAGGTTGGAGTGTCCTGAATTCCTGAAAATTCTCCGGTGTAGCCTGGGATCTGACATTTGCGTGGATTTGGTCCGACTATTGCTGAGTTGGAATCAATTCAATGCCAATGGGTTTGGTTTTTATTACTAGTAGAGATATGTGCGTTTGGGGAGGCAGGAAAGGCTGAAGAAGTGCGGTGAACCGAGAAAGTGAGGAAAGCTGGACAGAAAGCGTCTCCCCAAATGTGGGAGCTATGGGGAAGGTATGGGGGCTGGGTCCAGAGAGATGACCTAACTTATCAATATCTCACAACTGACTGGTGTCAAAGCAGCTCCTCTCTCCCAACCTAAGACAATAAAAAGGGCAGAGTGCGAGGGGAGGTGGCCTTTGCAGGCTCTTTTTAGAAATTTGCTGTCTCAGGGAAACTCAAAGACCAAACCAAATCCCTAAAAAACTGAACTTGATTATTTAATCCACGTGGCACAAGAACAAGCCAAAAAAAAAAAAGGGCGGGGAGTAGGGGGAGTCACCGGTCCCGCCCCTGCTGAGAAAGGATTTGGCCAGAGAACTTACTCCTGAGACAGCGGACAGGGCGCGTCCAGGAGCGAGTCGAGTTGAGAAAGCACTGTTTCCGCAAAACCGCTTTTCGGCAAGCCCTTCGCCTGCCCACGCCGGCCGCTCTCTGCCCCCACCCCCACCTCCCGCCACCTCCCAGACCGCTCAGCTGCGGGAGTCGGGGCGCAGCTGGCCCTTTAAGGGCGGAGAAGTGCGCTGTCTCTTTAAGGCAGGTCCTGGTGGTTTCTGTTTTCTGAAGGAAGTGACGGGGGGTGGGATTGAATGAAAAGTGCAAAACAGTCT